GATATCAAAGACTTTATTAAAATATTCAATAAGAAAAAAATCAGACTAGACTGAATAATACAGAAATGGATCTAGGATCTTTGGATCCAAAATAATAAAATTATAGATTGACCAACCTTTTGGAATCAGTTCAATCTGATCAATACCTTCAATACCTCTTTACTGATGAGTTTATTGATTTTTTCATTTGCCTTCTGCCATAAGTTCTTCCAAGTTTCCCTAGTGACTGGACATTCAAAAAGATGTCCTAGTGTCTCTTTATGAAGTTTACATATTGGGCAAGTGGTTGTGATATATATATCTGGTTTTCTCTTCTTAAGTATCTGCAGAATTGAAAGTTTATTGTGAATTAAGTTAGTTAGAAAGCTTTTGTCTTTATGATTTTGAAAGAGGTATTGAAGGTATTGATCAGATTGAACTGATTCCAAAAGGTTGTATTTAGAGAAATAGTTTTTTGACAACAAGTGAGTCAGTATGTGAAAGTCACAACAATTTGTAAATACCTAGCATATATACAATAAAGACACACTATGCTGACCTGACTGTGGATTAAAAAAAAAAAAAAAATCCAAAGCAATATAAGTTATAAGTATATCATAAAAAAAAAATAAATATCTAAATTTAAGAAAACAAAAAATAAAAAAAGATTATTTATTGAATAAGTAATTATATTGTATATATTAATAATATAATTTAAATAGTGAGAATTAAACAAGATATAAATATATTCTTAAAGAGATTAAGAAGTTTTACTTAATAAATAAATTACAAATCAATAATAAAAAATTAATTTATTAACTATAAATTGAAATAAAAAAGTTCTTGTTGATATTAATAGAACAAAAATCAATAAATTAAGATACGATTTTTGAATATATAGTTTGAAAGAATATATAATAATAAAATATAATCATTCTATAAAATAAAAATTAGAACAATAACTTAAGCAATTAGTAAAAAAAAATTAATAATAATCAAACATATCTAATATATTATTAGTAAAATTCTAATTCCTTGAATAAAATATGCATACATATCCGCAAAAAGATATACAGTATATTGATCTCACAACAATATATAGAAAGTGTTCAAGAGCAAAATACTTATCATAATAAAATGCCAAATTAAATTAACTTTAATGCTATATATAGTTTATAAATATTAAATATATTAAAGTAAAATATAAAAAAATAAAATAAAAAATAAAAAAATAAAATAAAAAATAAAAAAATAAAATAAAAAATAAAAAAATAAAATAAAAAATAAAAAAATATATAGTATCTAAACAGATTAAACATTTTGAATTTTGTCTATATAAATAAATTTCATTTTTAATTAAAAAATCAATACAAAAAAATTATCGCAATAAAAATAAAAAAAATTAATTCTTATATTCATAACTATTATAACGTCTAATCTTAATCTCCTTCTTTCAAACTTTTATTATTTATAATTGATAAAAAAGAATACTGTCTTGCCAAAATTAGAAAAAAAGCAATCATTGAATTACAATATATTATTACGTGATACCCAACCAATCATCCTCCCTTAAGAAAAAATGAATACAACCTAAAAAAATACTTTATTCTAATGAACTCTAAATAAACTGGTTAACGGTTATGTTTTGAACGAAAGTAAGTCCTACCTTATTATTTATTTAAATCCATTATGATTAATATTAATAATAATATTTTTTTCCTTTGTTAGCCATTATCATTATAATCAGCAACCTCGTCTATTTAATTTTTTGCATATAAAACAGTATATATGCCGACCGGTCAGTTGTTTGTGAGGAGTTTTCCACCATCACAGCAACCTCATCTGCAGAAATTGGAGATATCGTAGTATCGTCTATGTGAAGCCATTCATTGTCGTTGCGAAGAATATCAGCTGTATAATGTCCCCCAGTGGCAGATTTTCCGTGATGATATACAACTGAAAGAAATCAGAGAAAAAATATACATATGTACATATACATAAATAGATTTATGCGAATAAAAGAACGACAAGAAAAATAAGTAACCAACCACCAAAAAGCTGATATTCTGTAGCATTGCTCGGTCGCCTACCGGGAGCCATCAACTCTGAAGAATATAAATAATAATAAGCATTGTGCAAGTAAAATACTATATATGAACAGGTAGTATACCTGGAGGAATAGATAATGTTGTTGAATAGCCAACATGTTTGCTCAATTTTTGTGTACCACCGACATTGTCGTATAAAAATCTTTTCAAATGGAGTGTAAGAATCGGAGGAAGTTTTTCGATATACAGCCGTTTGGTTGCACGTGCCTATTTGAACTAAAATTTAGAAATAAAATAATTCGGGCATGCAAATATATATTATATAACTTACCAAACCCTTTTTCGATTTAAATTCAACATTCTCGGGAGCCGTAAGATTTTTCAGTGCGTCTTCGATGGTTTTTACATCATCAGGCTAAAATATCAATGGAATTATGAGATAATATTGTGGATAAGATTAAAATAACTATACAAACCTGAATATCCAGTTGTAATGACTGGTAAGGTTGACGAGTTATTGAATCGCTGCTACCTGAACATTGAAGTACAGAACGAAATTGACCACCAAAAATGCAACTGATCGGTGATTCCTCAATATCGGTCTTAAAAGAAAAAAAATTCAATAAATTAAGTACAACAAGTATACCGATTAACTGAATAAAAGATCATTACATAATTCTTAATATAAAAACCGTTCTGGTATAACTCGTTTTATTCTTCGGCCCGACTTCCATCCAAATATCCTCGGGATCATCTTTCGGGGACGTAACCTTTTCATGGAAATTAGTCTGTCCATTTGTTGCAACGCTAGGTTTCGAAACTAAAACAAACAGTAAGAAAAACACTATGGGCGCATTACTTTTAAAAGAAATTAAAATTTTGAATATCTTCCGCACCTCTCAAAAACTCTTCATGCAAACCATCAAGTAAAAATCCTAGAAATTCCTCGGCATCTTCTTGTCGACCTTTCATAGAATCAAATCGCTTGAGACCTCTTAAGGCATCGTAGACATAGTCGGGCAGAATATGTTCACCGACTTCTAATGAAATTCAAGATGATGAGATATATTGCATAAAATTAATGAAATAATTTAATTACCTTCTGTTTCAACAGTTTTAGATTGTTTATATTCATCTATAAACATTACTCTGAATAAATAAGTATGTTATTAGTTTTATTACCATTGAATTTTTTTTTCTTTTTTTTTTTAACGTTGAATACGACAAAATGACTCACAATGAATCAATCAGAGGTGTCTTGCTCTTAAAGCTATGCACCACTTCTTTTGAAATGCGCGTCAACAAATTATAAAATGGCGGACAATAAAAGAGCGTCTGCAGAATCTAATAACAATAACCGACAATGTCATTTACCAGTACCTATGGGATATTGGGAATATTAAAATGTTTAAAATATTGAAACTCATACATACCGCGTTCATGAAACACATATTACCATTATTTACTAGTCCACGAGGTGGAAGGGTGACTCCTTGGAATAACGGTTCGTAATTCGTCAAGATTCCTATAATAAAAATTTAAGTAATCTACTAAAAATTTTTATCGTTCTATTCAGTCACTCACCAGCAAGTCCACCTACGATCGGCTTTCCGTTCGGTAAAGGTGCTGTCGGCTTCTCCTGTTTGCTGGAATTAAGTGGCTTTGCTACAGGCTTTTGAGTGATAGTTGTGGTGGTTGTTGTGGCCTCTCCATTATCGCGTAATAAATCTGCCCAGCGAACGGGCTGTTTGTTCGAAGTGGAGATGCTATTTGTACCTTTTGGTTGCGATTGTGATTGGGTACCACATACAGCTGCATTGACATCTTTGGGAACGCTGTCTGAAGAAGGCACGTAATGATTCCCATTCTCACCGCTGTTATTCGTATTTGCTAATGTAGGCTTTAGGTTTTGAGAGTCAGGTAGTGGGATTTGTGTTTCATCATTTGTAGAAACGTTATTTTGATTCATCATCTGTCCATTAGTTGGACGATTAATGTTCGATTGGGTTTTTCCGGTATGACCATTACTTGTAATTGAATTACCGAGTGGAGGAAAGCTATTTTTAGTTGCATATTGATTTTTGTCCTTTATTGATTCCTCTGAAATGGATGTTGGATAAACATCTGCCATTCCATTTGTCGTTGGACTGTTATGAGATATTGTATGTTTTGCTATACCATTTAAACTGGAGATGTTCTTTGCGATATCATGCTTTTCAATTGAATTTCCAGATGAAGAAAATAATGATTGTCTATTATCAATTTTTGTTGATTCTGATGTTATTTTTTCAGATTTAGCTGGTAAAGGAATATCCGAATTTGATTGCGATATTGAATTTTTGTTATCATTATAAGGTTGACAGCACATAGAAGAGTGTGTCAAGCAATTGATCGTTGATACTGATGTTCCTGTTTGTGTCGATAATCTTGATCCAGAATAATTTATCGTTCCTTTTTCCTTTCTACTACCTATTCTCAGAATACATCAAGTATTAATATGACAACTTCTGGAAACAAAAACTTAAATCAATAATGGTACCTTTTAGCAGTGGTGGAAAGCCGATATGATAGGGTACCTAAAGTAAATTTTGCATCGAGAAGAAGCAAACCATATATGAAGTTATCCAGGATTGTAAATGTTGCTAGTAAAAGGCACAAACCTCCTGTGAAAGTTGTATTCCCGAATTTGTTATCACCATGTCAATGGCTTCTCTGTCAGCGAACGTGCCATATATTATTCCCCTCTTTGATAAGAACGTGAAAGTCCGTATAATTTAGTAAACGCAAAATTTTTTGAGCTGAACCTGAAACAGATCACAAACCTTTTGAGAATGCATCACTAATGTACAAATTTTTTTGGCCAAATTTTGTTAAATAAGTGTTATAGTTTTATAAAAAAAAACCTGCACATTTTTTCCCGTTTGCGGAAATATATCAGCTTAAGGTTGAAAAAAATCAAATAATTACGAGTATATTAATGTTTTTCCGCAGACCTTGGAAGTTCAAAATTCGATCGAAATTAGGAATTTAGAATGTATTTCTTAGAAATGCTATGTATCTCAAAACGTATAGTTGGATAAAGTCACAAACAAAAAAATTTTTGTCATGATGCTTTTTTGATTTGCGAGATTGTAAATTATCTTTTTTTTGATGCGGAGTTGAAGAAATAAATACGTAACGTACAAATCTACGCATTCACGTGAAAACTGAATTAATATAAAAAAGAATTTGATTATATAACGCACTTTGCATCCAGATTATAAAAATTTGGCCCAACAATGCACTACAATTTGTATACAATTCCGGCCGGAATTATAAAAATTTGGTCCTGCCTCTTTCTTATAGTATATTGTAGAAAAACATTCCAATATTTTATTAATACTAGAAATATCATATTTTGATAATATTATTGAAATAAATAAAGAAAAAAACTTTGCATATTCAAATTTTCAAATTAATAAGGTAAACAATAGGAAATAATTCAAAAAAAAAAAAAAACTCTTTCTACTGATCCTCTGATCACACACAAAAAAGATGTTTGCAAGAAGTTTTTATATTTCCTTGTTAATAAAGTCTTAATACTTTTCTTAAAACAACTTGAAGTATAACTTCAAGAGTTACATCTACCCTTCTTCTATTGTTTACAAACCTCTTTACTCAAAAACTTAACTCCTAGAGACCAAGAAAAGTCAAGTAATACCTTTGATACTAATGGTAAGAAAGTTCCCAAAGGAAGAAGAACTGACTGTAAAGTATCTGAAGGCCTATTTAACCTTTGAAGCAAGAGGTATATAGAGGTTTTTG